GTCTGTGGCGCAAGCCGGCGACTGGGTCATCGCTGACAAGCACCCGTACGTGAACCCACTGCCCGCCCCAGAAGCTCCTCGCTCCTCCCCTGTGACGGCGGCCGCTGGCGGCTCCGGCACCGCGGGCCGCTCCACCGCCATCCCGCGAGGGGGAGCACCTCTGCCTGCACGGCGCGAGCTCCTGCTACTCGTCAAGAACACCTGGGCCGCGCTGCCAGACACTCGCGTCCAATTCACCTCGGACTGCAGGATGCAGGGCAAGGGGCGGGCGCGTCCTGAGGATGTCCCAACACGCGTCCTGCTCAACTTCCTCAGCTCGAATGGGGCCCTGGTGGCCCGCGTCAGGAGGATGCAACAGATCGTTAGTGAACCTGGGGCGGCATGGCATAGGTTCTGCGTTTTGCGTGGCGCCGGCACCCGCGATCCCAGCCAGCATGACGCCACCTTCCTCCGCCGCTGCTTCCTCTACCATGCGCACTCCCCCCTGGACGATCACAAGAAATTGCACCGGCTAGGTGTCCTTAGACCGGCCATGCGACGTCCACCCTGACAGCGCGTGGCCCCCAACGGCGTTTGGCCAGTTTTGACACAGAAAACTGCACCAGCTAGGTGCCTTTAGACCGGCCGTGCGCCCACCCAGACAGCGCGGGGCCTGCACGGCCGCAGCCAAGGCCACCCGCCGGGCAGCTGCAGCGCTGGCGCTGGGCCGCCTGGCGCCGACGCCCCGCTTGCTGGGGCCTCCCCGCAGGCGGGGCGCTCCTCCTCTTTGTCCCCCCCCGCCCCTTCCCTGCGCCTGTTCCCTCCCTCCCTCCGCGCGCCGCCACGGCGCCGACGCTGCAGCCGCGGCTGGCAGCGACCCCCTGGTGGTGGTGCTCCTGGGCCCTGCGTTTCGCCGCAGCCATCGCGCTACACCCAGCGGGCACAGCTTCTTGCTGGTGGCAATCTGAAACCTCGACTGCTCGTAGTCACTTGCAGTACCTCGTCGACCCACCTCTGGGATCCGCTGTACCTTCCCTTGCTTACAGCACCTAGTTAGCCCACACCTGGACGGCTTTACTGCGCGCACCCGTGCGTTCCGCGTGCTGGGCCTCGTCAGCGACCGTGGTTCACCAACGCCACGGCCCGGCCGCTGCCACGGTCCCCGTTGCCGAAGCTGGCCGCGCCAGCGCACTCAAGATGGAAGCACTCCGCCTCTGCGTGCCCCCCCTCCCTTCGCCTCCGCGGCCGCCCTGTCTGTCTCAGTCTCGCCTCTTGCACGCTGGACAATTCGTTCTTCGGTAGGCCCGTTTAGCCCGACCGCTGGCGCAGCAACCTTTGCCTCGCCGCCGACGAAACATGCATGTGCATGTATGTATGCATGTGTATGTATGTATGCGAATGTAGGTACGTGAGTATGTTTGTGCGAGAGCTGCCAGCGCCCCAAGTGATGGGTAGAGACCTCCACCGTGTAGGCCTAGAGAAGGCGACCGGGACCGGATCCCGAGCAGTGCAAAAGTGATGGCCAGGCCCACCCGTTCGAGAGACCACGCAGAGACCCAAACAGCGAGAGGACAGCCAGGCGGAGCAGAGAGGACGGAACGGCGGGGAAGGCCGAGGGGCAAGGCAGAGAGACAGACAGCAGCTGTTTAGGGAACCACACCCAAGACAAAGAGACGGCGGTCAACCCATAAAGTTCAGCAACAGACCTACTGGCACTGCGCGAGCAGCGCAACCTGAGGTGCACTCGCACATGGGGTTGGACTGCTGATTTCCGCGTCCACGCCACAAAAAAAACTCGAAGTGGGCGTGGCAATCTTGCGCCAATAGATGGCGCCTGAAAGGGTAGAAAGGGGAAGGAGGGGAAGGGAGGAGGAGGAGAGGGAAAGGACGGGGACACGACCCCAATCAGTGCGACAACATCATGGATAGCAGCGGTAGCCGTCCCCAGGGCAGGTGGAGGCCGATGGGCGGTTGGAGACGGGCACAAATGTGCCTGCCTTCCAGTGGCCCGTCCGCGCAACGTCCCGCTCCGGGGTCGTGCACTGAATTCGGGAAGGGGAAGGGCAGAGGAAGGGTGAAAACGCAATCCTGGCGAGTGCCCCGGGCCTCAACGGCCTCGACTGCCCCGCCGGCCAGGCTGCCCCGCGCGGGCTCGGAGGCCACTGCCACAGAAGCCCCCCCCCCCACGGGGGGGCCACAAACCCGAGGAAGGCAGAGGACCGTGCCCGACGACGACGGCGACGACGACGCCGACGACGCCGACGACGCCAACAACGACGACGACGACGAACGCGGCGGCGGCGGCGGCGACGACGACGACGACAACGACGACGACGACGACGACGACAACGACGGCGGCGGCGGCAGCGACGACGACGACGACGACGGGGGAGGAGGGAGGGAGGAAGGAAGCCGCAACAGCAGCAGCCAAACCGCAACAGCAGCAGCAAGAGGAGGGGAGGGGAGGAGAAGGAAAGGAGAGAGAAGCGGACCCTGGCCCCCGCGGGTGTGGGGCCCCCTGGGGGGGCGGTGGGTGGACAAATCGTGCCCCCCCTGCCGAAACCCCTGCCGAAATTCTGACGAAGGAATTCCAGTGAGAGTCCTAACCACAACGTACATGCTATGCAGCGCCGGCCCACCCACCCCACCGCTCCAGCCGAGCACCGCAGGGAACTGCCCGCCCTCCAGGCGGCCACCATGCAGGGCTGGGCCGAGCGACGCCGGAGCAGGGGAGAGAGGGAGGGAGGGAAAGAGAGAGAGGCGGAATCACAACCCCGGCGCGCCCAGCTAAGGATAGCGGATGGGCCGGTACGCTTGAAACGTTGACTTCTCGATCCTGGTGAACCTGGTGTCCGTCGTGCTGCTCGTGGTACGCGCCAGGCTGCACCTCGTACCCGTCGTGCTGCTCGTGGAACTCGCCGTGTGACTCACCCGTCAGACCTACATCTGGCCCCGACCCAGCGCAACAAACGAGAACCAAAGCCCGCGGTATCATGGTATCCGTCGTGCAACTCATGGTATCCGCCGTGCTGCTCGTGCAACTACTGGTGTCCGTCGTGCTGCTCGTGGTTTGCGCCGGACTGCACCTCGTACCCATCGTGCTGCCCGTGGAGCTCGCCGTGTGACTCACCCGTCGTGCTGCTCATAGTGCCCTCCCTGCTGCTCCTGGTACCCGTCGTGCTGCGCATCCGCCGTGCTGCTCCTGGTGTCCCGCGTGCTCGTCGACGTGCAGCTCTTGGTTTCCGCCGTGCTGCGCGTGGCACTCGTCGTGCAGCTCGTGGTATCCGTCGTGCTGCTCCTGGCACCCGTCGTGCTGCGGATGGCATCTGTCGTGCAGCTCGTGCTGTAGCTCGTATCGGTCGATGTGGGCGTGGTCTCCGTCGTGCTGCTCGTGGCACTCGTCGTGCAGCTCACGGAATCCACTCTGTCAGTTGAGGCTGGCAGGCCTGTAGCTGTCCCGGCCGCGTGACCGATGGATTGTGGGAGGGCGTCTGCCCTGGACTCGGTCGGAGTCGAAACTGTGCACGATGTTTCTCGCCTCCCGAGGGTTGACGCCGGCGTGTCGCCCTATTTGGGGGATGCCAGCCTTATGCGTCCGTGCGTCTGTGCAAATAAGCCTCGTCGCAGCTTGATGCGTGGGTCGGTGGTTGTGGGTCGGCAGCAGGTCGATTGGGAGTCGAAGCTGGGGTCGGAGCCAGCGCTGCTGTCGGAGCAAGGCTGGATTCTAGCATGCAGCATGTGGATAGAAATTCCAATGGTCCAGTTCGTGTTCGCGCCTGCCTCGTCACCCGAGCGCACCAGGCACACACCAGAGGATGTTTTAACCCTGTGTGTGGCGGCATTCGGGTTTTGGGAGTCCGTGCAAATAGGCCACGTCGTAGCTTGTTGCGTGGGTCGGGTGGTGTGGGGTTGTTGTGCGGCGTTTGCGTGTGTCTGGTGAGGATCAGCAATGGGTCGACTGCAGTTGGAGGTTGTTGCGGGGGTCGGTTGGTGCGGGACGGTCGTGTTTCGAGTTTGTTGCGTGAGTCGGTTGCTGTGGGACTGCTGCGGGTCGGTTGTTGGTGCTGGTGGTGCCGATGGTATCACGGCACCAGGGGTAAGTGGATGGGAGGCGCTCGGAATCCAACGTCGGACCAGGATGTGGATGAAGGGACCGGGTCCTCGAACGCCGGGGTCGGGGAGTTGGAGCCGGTTCCGGTGTCTGTGCTGGTGTCGAGGCTGATGCTGGTATGTATGTGTGCTTGTATGCATGTGTGGATGCATGTGCGTATGTACGTATGTATGAATGCATGCAGGCGTGTGTGTATGCATGTATGTACGTGTGTGCACATATGTGTGTACGTACGTCTGTATGTATGTATGTATGGATGTATGAGCGCAAATGAATGAATGAATGAATGAATGAATGAATGAATGAATGAATGAATGAATGAATGAATGAATGAATGAATGAATGAATGAATGAATGAATGTGTATGCATGTATGTATGCATGTACATGTGTGGGCACATACGTGTGTGTGTGTGTGTGTTCATCCATGCTCCTGTACATACATATACAAAACATATAGTGGGTCCGCGCTCTTTCTCTCTCTCTCTCTCTCTCTCTCCCTCCAGAACAAAATATGTGTACATAGATGTACCGCTCTCTCTGACTCTCTCTCTCTCTCTGTCTCTCTCTCTCTCTCTCTATGTCCCTCTCGTTTGCTCTCTTTCTCTCGCAGATCCCTCTCTACTTGTATACACTGGTGTATGTATGCATAGGTTTGTGCATATACAGACATGCGGACAACATCTGGTGTATATCCCTCGTTCTCTCTCTCTCTCTCTCTCTGTCTCTGTCTCTCTCTCTCTACATACATATATATATATATATGTATACAGATATGTATATGTCGCGCACTCGTTCTCTCTCTCTCTCTCTCCTCCCTTTCTATCCCTCGCCCCTCGCTCTCGCTCTCTCTCGCTCTCTCTCGAACTCTCATCCCTCTTTCGCTCGCGCCCCCTCCATCCCTGGCCCTCCGTCACGACGGCCGGCGACACCGGCAGCAGCATCGAGTAGCCGTAGAGGCCTATTGTCGACAGCACCTCCCCGAGGGCCCCTTCGTCCTCTCCGTCCTCCTACTTCTCGTCCTCCCCCCCATCGCAGACCAGAGCACCCGCTTACACGCGATCCCCAGCGCTCTCATCCTTGCCTTCTTCTTAATCCTACTCCTCCTCCTCCTCCTCTTTATCCCCATTATCCTCGGACTCCTCCTCCTCCTCCTCGCCAGCCTCATCATTCCCCTCCAACTGCTTGTTATGATTCCTCTTACTGTTCCTCTCCCTCCTCCTCCTCCTCCTCCTCCTCCGCCTCCTCCTCCTCCTCCTTCTCCGTCGCCTCATCACCACAATCGTCATTATCCTGAGGATGCGGCGCTTTTCCTGCTGCTCCGTGTCCTCCTCCTGAGGCCTCCTCCATTTCCTCTTCCTCCACCTCCTACGCAGTTATCCTCTTCCTACCTCCTCCTCCTCCTCCTCCTCCTCCTCCTCCTCCTCCTCCTCCTCCTCCTCCTCCTCCTTCCCCTGTTCATACGTTTCATGCTGTTGCTCCTCCTCCTCCTCCTCCTCCTCCTCCTCCTCCTCCACCCCCTGGGAAGCTCTCGAAGAATGGAGCAGAGGCAGAGCAGGCGCGGCAGCAAGGAGAAGCAGCAGCAGGGAGGAGGAGAAGCGGACTAGAGTGAGGATGAGAGGCGAGTAGCAACACGAGGAGATGAGACAAACGGCGACGACAGGGACAAGGGGCACGGGGAAGGAGGATGAGGAGACGTAGCTGGAGGAGGGAAAGAGGAGGGGGACGAAACAAAAAAATGTTACTAATCATCAGAATAAGAATACGGATAATGCAAAATTCGACGGCCCAACGGGCCAGAAGCGTACTAAGATCTCAGGTAACTGCTGTACAGTATTTCTAATTCGCGCGCGTGGGGCGGCCCATGGGGGCCCCCAGAGGAAAAGTACCCCGGCAGGGTCCCGGGAGGATCCGATAAGATAAGAGATGGTTTTCCGTCTGGGCGCCGCCCTCGAGACCCTCCAGAGAGCCCCAAGAAGGGTCAAGAGGCCTCCAAGAGGCCCCCAAGATGATACAAGAGGGCTCGAAGATGCCACAAGATCGCTCAAAGACGCCCAAGATGGCCACCAAACGCCCCAAGGGGCCTCCAAGAGCACTCTCAAGAGGGCCCCACGATGCACAAATCAGTGCTTTTCCTTCAATTTGGGAAAGGTTTTGGTGTTTCCACCTTTTCGGCTTCCCGACGCCCCAAGACGGCCCAAGAGGCCCCCAATATCGCCCCAAGAGGGCCCAAGAGGCCCCCAAGAGGGCCCCAAAACGGCCCAAGAGGGCCCCAAGACGGCCCAAGAGGGCTCCAAGACGGCCCAAGAGGGCCCCTAGAGCATCCTAAGAGCGGCCCCAGAGGGGGAGCACGAAACAGCATTTCGAGCCCTCGGTCCTGAGAGGCCCCCAGAAAGCCCCAAGAGGCCCCTAAGAGGCCCCAAGAGGCCCCCAAGAGCTCTCAGGAGGCCCCCAAGAGGCCCCCAAGAGGCCCCCAAGAGACTCCAAGAGGCCCCCAAGAGGCCTCTTGGAGGCCCTAAGAGGCCCCCAAGAGGCCCCCACGGGCCAGCGGAATGAGCGAAGCGATTCAATAATCAGAAGAAGAAGACGAATAATGGTACTAGTATTCATACGAACACTGATACGAATCCAAATACTGCGACGACGAATAGCGAAAATAAGAATAGCAGTAGTAATGACAAACATGATATTGATATACTAAGAAGAAGAAGGCGAAGAAGAATAATAATAAGAAGGAAATATGGCTCGAAACAATACTCATAATAATGATCGCAACAATCCAAGTAACAAGACGAGGAGGAGAAGGAGGAGGACGAGGAGAACTTGACCATTTGCACGAGGATAACGACGAGGAGGAGATCCGCAGGGGAGAGAACGACGAGAAAAGAAGGAGGAGCAGATGCACAGCCATAGGAAGAGGGGTGGGAGCAGGCGCAGCCAGAGGAGGAGCACCGGGAGGAAGAGAAGCACGAGGAGAAACGAGAAAGACGACGAGGAACTTGGTGGGCGAGAGGAAGTCCGCCGACCCCGCTTGACGGAGGTGGGAAGGCGTGTGAGACATTTCGCTGTCCCCCTCCCCCTTCCCCCTCCATTGGGTTCCAAAATGCCATTCTAGGGGAGGGGGAAGGGGGGGGGGACGAGCTCGCCACCGCACCCCGAGGGCCTCTGAATCCCGCAAAAGCCCAAAGACAGCCTAACAGGGCCCAGACAGAGCGCCAAGACAACTGAAGAGAGCGCAATGACGGCCCAGGGTAGCCCCGCGACGATCCAAGATGGCTTCAAGATGGCCCACGAGGCCCCCAAGACAGCCCAAAAGCGCCTCCAAAGGATCGCCGAGAGGGCCCCAAGAGGCCAAATTCATCCCACCCCCTGGAGAAAAAAACATACATGTTCAGCACATTCGTATCTCACGCTTTGACAGCGAACACGACGTCCCAAGTGGCCCCCAAGATCGTCCCAAGACGGCCCATGATGCCTTCAAGAGGGCCCCGAGACGGCGCAAGAGGGCCCAAAGCCAGTCCCAACACTCCGAGGGAGCCCCTCGAGGGCACCAAGAGGGCTTCAAGAAACAAGAGGGGGAATACGAACTCACATTTCGAGCCATTCCCACCATAATGGCCACTCGAACCCCCAGAGGCCCCCGGGGGCCCTTCAAAAGGCCCCAAGATGTCTCCAAGACGCCCCCAAGAGGCCCACCAGAGGCCTCCGCGAGGCCCCAAAAGCCTCCCACATGCCCCCAAGAGTTCTCCAAGAGGTCCCAGAGAGGCATCCTAAGAGACCCTCAGATTAATACAAGAGGCTCCTTACCCAAGATATAACTTCCACGATCGTCTCAAAAACTCACTCCTTGTAGGGGGTCGGTGGAATGGCGCAAGCCACTTGAACAAGACGAAGCCAGGACGAGGATAGCATCGGGTGAGGATGAATCGAGAACATCAGAGATCCAGCGGCTCTGGAGGATGTATCAGACGCAGGAGCCTTCTCAGAGCGTTGCGGACCGCTCTGAGAGCGTTCCGCGACGCTCTGGAACGAATGCATCCTCGCCCTGACCACCTATCAGACCTCCCCAACCCAACCCGAAGACCCGAATTTCGGGTTGGGGCGGGGTATGGGCTCCATATCTGTCTTTTCGATGTTCCCGGACCCCACCCCCCCACTGGAAATGGAGGGCAAATTGAGGCCTTCGGGTTGGGTTGGGGTGGTTTGGTGGGTGGTGACGTCCTAGCCCCGTCCGAGGAAGAGGACGGGGGGGCAAGCCAGCCCGCGAGGAGGGAGGCACGACGAAGAGCAGGGGCTGGGGCAGGGGGCAGGAAGATGGGCAGGGAGGCGATGGGCACGGGGCGGACGGGGGTGACGCGGCACTAGGGGGAGGAGGAGGAGGAGGAGGAGGAGGAGGAGGAGGAGGAGGAGGAGGAGGAGGAGGAGGAGGAGGAGGAGAAGGAGGAGGAGGAGGAGGAGGAGCGGGAGGAGGAGGAGGAGGAGGAGGAGGCGGAGGCGGAGGGGGAGGCGGAGTAGGAGGAGAGCGGAGGAGGAGGAGGAGGTCTGTAGCCATTTTAGCTCAAGCTGGTCTCAAACCCCCTGCTCGCCATTTCCGCATCGCGCACGGCTGGTATCCCGAAGCGGTGTTGATGCTGGCGGCGAGATCCTTGAGATGGCACGGAAGGCTGCGGGCGATGCGCAGCCGCGGCGTTCTGCCGCTGAGCGAAAGAATAGGAGGCGGTGGGCACGGCATTATGTTGATCGTGCCGTGGCGAATCTCACAGCGGAGCTTGGTCGTACGAAGGCGCAGCTGCAGTTAGCGGAGGAGGCCCTGGCGTCGCTGGTGGGAGACGCCGCCGACCTCGAGGACCGCCTCTGCAGCATCCTCCCTGCGCTCCTGGCGCTGGCAGCTGGCAGCCAGCCGCGATTGTTGGACAAGCTGCGCCACAGCGTGGCCCTTCACTCCGTCGCCGAAGGTGTCTGCATCCATCGTGCTGAGGAGGATGACCTGCGGCGCGCGCAGGCTGGTCCCAGGCTTGGGGTGGGGGTGGAGTCGCGCGGGCACATCAGCACTGAAGTGAAGAAGAAGAAGCAGAGGAAGGAGAAGGTGCAGGTGTGCAGCGAGATGGTGATCAAGCAGGAGCACGCTTGGCCTGTCGAGGTGAAGATGCTGCTGGCGCCAGGAGGGACGGATCTAGTGCGGAGTGTTCTCAGGGCCCAGGCGGAGTGCTTCGTGCCGCTGAAGGAGCTGCATCGCCAGGCCATGGAATGCCTTCCTCAGCGCTGTGGTGGTCGTGTTCAGCCATTTGTCCGCTGAAGAGACCTCATCGACGCGCTGGTGTCCAAGGCTGGTCAGCCTCCTGCCGTGGGGTCCAACCTTTTGGACGGTGGACGGCTCTGAGAGTGGGGAGCGAGCCGTCGCTGTCGGGATTGTCGCGCAGGAAGAGTCCTCGGGGTGTCGCAGGTGTTCATTGGGACACGCGCTGGTATGGGATGCGACGAACTGCGAGGAGGAGGCTTGCGTGGTGTGCGCAGGCCCCATCTGTGATGGTGATGACGTCTTCCTGTGTGCTGGTAACGAGTGCACGGGCAAAATGTCCATGTCCGTGGCCGAAAAGTTGGACTTGTTCCACGGTGCCACGCTGGTGCCTACCCAGCTCATGAGCGGAGCCTTGGCGTCGACAGTGGAGCCGACCAGCTTCAGTCCAGCAGACAGCGCCGCTTTCGGCAGCGCATCGCCTGCTTCTTGCCCAGTCGCGCCCATGAGGGCCAAAGACATATCCCAGTCCAGGGACAAGTCCTCGATGGCCTTGCACCAACTGGAGTCCCGCATGTTCACGTGCTTGATGGCCATAGACTGGTATGCGACGTCCATAAAACAACACGGTTCCCCCAACCGCGGGATGTGGTCGACCCCGTCCAATCACACAGTCGCCTTGTTATAATACGCGGGGCCGGTGACGCCCAACTTGGATCCCGTCTCCACAACCGTTGCCACCGCGATAGCGGCAACCAAGGCGAGACTCGTGAAGACAGGCATTGCCACAGGCATTGCCACGTTCGGAACCACGCGAGGCCAGCCCAGCGGGGTAGCCTCGGAGCTCGCCTGGGTCGCAGCTGGAACGTTGGGCCGCCGCAACTTGAGCCAACATAGCTACGGACGAGGTTGCAGACTGATGCTGTCGATGACGTTCAGTCCAATGATCTGCCGAACAGATCTACAACTACTCAAATTCCCAGGTTGGGTCAGAAACACATCGACACAGTAGAAATGCTGCAGCGCGAAACTGGTCTTCAAGTATAGCTCAAGGAAGAGATCGGTATCAACGCCCTCGAGGATGCAGACTGATATGTTCGATGGTGACCGATCCAATGGTGTGCCGAACAGCTCTGTAACTACTCGGTACCCGTAGATACAATTGAAAAGCAAGTCGACACAGGATACTAGCTGTAGAGCGAAACTAGCGTTGCGAGGATAGCTCGGGTAGGAGACCGATCTCGGCGCCCCCGAGGTTGCAGTCTGATGCGGTCGATGATGTCCGATCGAATGGCATGCCTGATAGATGTGCAGCTGCTCTGGATCCCGAGATCAAGTCAAAAGCAACTTGACTTGTAGCAGAATGCGTGCAGGGACAAACTTGTTGTTCTATTGTAGCTCGAAGGAGACCGATCTCAGGTCTCTCGAGGTTGCAGATTTGTGTTGTCGACGATTCCCGATCCGACTGTGAAACGAAAAGTTCTGTAGCTTCTAAGCCTCAAGCTGAATACTACAAGAACACGCGTGCAAAACATTTGTCTTCAGAGAGGTCGGCTCCCGCAACTGAATCGCAAAACCCTTGCAGCCATAAAAAAGAGACGGAGACGCCTGCAACCGCTACGATCCACTATTCGAAGTACAGCAAGCCTGGATTCTCAAAACGAAATATCCAAACTCGAGAACTATTGCAAACACCATGCCGAGATCGTCACATCTCTTCCGGTTTGGTCGGGTCGGTCAGCTGGGTCCACCCTGCCCCCGAAATCCTCGAAGCTCCTCTCGCCGAAGAGCTCTCCTAGGTGAGACTTTCAAATTTCGATCAGCGAGCTTCCAACCACCCTCTTTACATGAAAAGTTCTGTCCAGATTTGTTTCGCCAGTAAGTCTGCGAGGTTCAGAGCAAGTCCCCAAGAGGCCTTCAAGGCGCCCCCAGGAGACCTCGAACATGCCTCTGCTCCACGACCAAGGCTAAGCGTTGGGTTATTCGTCGTCCTCCTCTTCCTCATCCTCGTACTCCCCCCTCCCCACCTCCTCCGTCTGCTGCTGCAGCTTCTCATCATCAATCCTCGTCGCCATCCTACTCTACTCTTCTCATCGTCCAACTCCTCCTTCTCCTCCTCCTCCTCGTCCTCCTCCTCATCATTCTCATCCTCCCTCCTTCTCCTCCTTCTCCTCCTTCGTCTCCTTCTCCTCCTTCTCCTCCCTCCTCCCTCCTCCCTCCTCCTCCCTCCTCCTCCTCCTCCTCCTCCTCCTCCTCCTCCTCCTCCTCCTCCTCCTCCTCCATCCTCACCCTCATCCACCCTCCTCAGCATCATCACCATCATCACCACCATCATCAGCATTATCATCCTTCTACTCTTCATCTTCCTCGTCGTCGTCGTCCGCCTCCGCCTCCTCCTCCTTCTCGTCCTCCTCCTCCTCCTCCTCCTCCTCCTCCTCCTCCTCCTCCTCGGTCCGCAGAGTAGGCGAGGGCCCCCCCGCCGCCCGCCCCCGCCGACGCGTACGCCAGGCACCGGTGGTCGAACTGCACGACCGCGGTGTCCTCCGCTCAGGCTGGAGGGAGGGAGGGACAAGGAGATTCGAGGATCAGGAGGAGGGAGCTCGGAGACGGCCTCCTGGATAATAAAAGAGCATGTAGTATGGCGAAACACCTTCTGGTGCGGGGGGGGACCGCGCGGGAGGGGGGGCGACAAGACAAAGAGGAGGAGAAGGACCAATGTAAACCCAAGACGCGTCAAAGATGTTGCAATAAACCCTCCCTGAAAGCTCCCCCTTCATAGGTCCCCACAAAAACCGAGATGCATTGCGTAGAACAGACCATTGCAAAACAACCGTCTGATAATCCTTCATCGCTCCAAAATGAAATTTCTGAAATTTCAGCGCCGCGGATCAATGCGACTATTGCGTCCTGACAATCATGTACCGAACCAACACGCCATTCTTGAGACTTCAACACCGCGAATCAAGGTGACTGTTGCGCCCTGACAATCCCCTGAAAAGCATCAACCTCTACCAGGTTAAGGGAGACTCGTTCATCGACCAGGTGAGCCAGAGAGAGAATAGGCGGATGACCATCATCATCATCTTCGTCTTCTTCCGGGCCGAGCTGGGGATAGAGATCCAAGGGTTTATCGGGGTGCAGTTCGACATGTTCCGGGACGCAGTGGTGGTGTTCGGGGTGCAGCTCGAAGGGATCCAGGCCGCAATGGTGGCTATCATATCTTGGGGCCTATGGCAGGCTTCCCCCCCTCCGGAGGGGCTTATGTTCTGAGATCATACCTCGTGCTTCCTGCTGGGCGCCTTGCTTGTCGCGAGGTTCCTGGCTTCTCTGTCGGCAGCCGAAATGATGAACGACGAACTGATGCATCAATCCACGTGCAAACCACTACGCCTAAGAAGAGCCTCTCGCAGGTGGGCCAAGTCCCGCAGCACGAGACAATTCATATCTGCAGTTGCTCCGTCGTCTTGGACGGCCAGGAGCTCGTCATGTTTCACTACTGCTACTGCCACACGCGGTCGGAACCGGGCGCGCCTTCGACACTTGTACAGACCATCCCACCAGCGAGTCCTCAAAGCAGGTATGCCCTTCTTGGTGGGCACGGCCAGCACCAAGGGAGTTCATTTCTCTCATTTGGACAACATCGAGAAGATTCGATGCATCCCCGCTTTCATTCGGCACCACAGCTGGGACATCACCACGTTGACAGAGCTACACGGGGATTGGACAGCGAATTTGATCGTTGAGGAACTCCTGAGTGTTATTCACAAGAGAGTCGCTGTGGTACTGTCGCCGGCGGCACGGGCAGCACACATGGCTTCGGACTCCAAGGTTTTCCGCTTCTCTAACCTCGTCATGGGGGTATGCTTGAAGCTACCGAACATGGACAGGGAGATGTTGTACTGCAGGGTGTACATGCTTTCTGGTCTTATTGCTGAGGAGCGGGCCGCCCAATGGACTAACATGATCAAGCTGCACGAATCTTTGAAAGTCACGCAGTTTGCTGTTATCTTCCAGGGAGATTGTAACGCCCACCGCGGCAGGAACACGATTGCAGACGACACATGTTTGGGCACATTCACATTTATCAACGGCTACCACACAATCTGGCGAAGCAGGCGTAAAGTTCATACAAGATGCTGGTCTTCGCTGTGTAGATTCTGTTCTTCCGTGTGAACGGCGCGGTACTTGGAGACACAACGTCAACGGGCTCTGGTACGAGTTGGACTACACGCTGTCCTCCGGTATCCTCTCCAAGGCTTTCAGGGACATGAAGACGTTCTCCACGGGCTTCACAAACCACATGGTGAAACAATACACTCTCCAGGTCCCGGACAGCGCTGAACGCAGAGCAAGGCAAGAACGCAAACAGATTTCTGTTGCAGCAGAACGATCAAAACAAATCTTTCGAGAACAACGTGTGCAGCCACTGAGATACGATCTACTTCGCGATCCTACGGGGCGCGGCCAGGAGCACAAGCAACAGTTCCAGGAAAAGGTCCGCCGCCACACTGCGCAGCTGTTGGGCACCGGATAACCCAGGAACCGGGACGACGAGTTTCCAAAGAACCAGGCCTCGCAACCCTTCTTCGTGGATGGCTCCGGGGACCCCCTCGGACAGGAGGCCAGCTGGGGAGCTGCATTGTTCCTCGGCGAGGCTGGAATGAGGGCTCGCGAACGACTACCAGAACACCTTTGCCCAGATCCAGCCGCTATCTGGCACGGCCCCGTCCAGAAGAACCCACAGGCGCTCGACTTCTTGGGGGCTCTCTCGACTACCGACAACACCGGAAAGATGTCCGCGATGTGCGTGGTACTGATCGCTGTGATCAAGGAGGGCCCCTCGGCGGCTTCCGTGTCCATCTACTATGACAGCACCTATGCCGCCAACATGGCGCGGGGCACTTGGCGTCCAAATTAGAACGTCCAGTTGGCACGCCGGCTCCGCCGCTTGTACAAACAGGCACAGGGACTTCGACCTCTTCGCCATCTGCATGTCAAAGCTCACTCTGGTATCTGGGGCAATGACGTGGCAGACAAGCTCGCCGACGAGGGCAAGACGGGCCACACTCGAGCACCATATTCGTTGGGCTGGACTACGACACCTTCTATGGCACCACAATTGGAACCGTCCGTCGATGACTTCGATGACTTCGAATCAGAGGAAGACCCATTTGGACTGGGCAGAGACATGGATATGCACTCGTCGTCCACTCCCCTCCCTCCCCTCCCTCCTCCCTCCTCCCCCGCCGCCGCGGCCAGACGCGGCTTGGAAAGCTTTCGCGGCCCTTCCCCTCCCCTCGCCGTATCGGCTGGGCGCGGCTTGGAAAACGGGCGTGCCCCCCCCCCTCCCTTCCCTCTCCCCCCGGGACTCGACGAGCCTGCAGAGACAGCAACACGACGGCGTTTGCGAGGCAAACATAACCACAATTACGACGACAAAGAGCTGGAGACGGCCAAGGCCTACACGGGCCACAATTGGCACGACTTGAGCACGATCTTGAAGAAAGCAGCGGAGGACACATTGGGCAGGGGCAAGCGGATGGCCGTGGGCGCGCCCTTCGAGGAGGCCGACTACGACATCATTGTACAACTGCGAGACAAACTCCAACAAACTTGGGAGGTCTTTCGCTCCTACCCCGGAAGCAGCTGCTGAAGCTCGACGGCACCATCGTGCTATCTCTCGCCGGCTACAGCATAAAAGATGCCATGCTCGTGAGAAGTTTCTTCGACATCGTTGTAAAGACCTTGAAGACGACAGGACAAAGAACGACATGGCATCCATCTACAAGAACCTTCGCACACTCGGCATTCATTTACACGGAAAGACAAATTCCAGCATGGCTCCTAACACCATGGATGGCATCATCAAATTTCTGGAGACCTTAGGCAATGAGACGTTCGAGGGCGACGAGGACGTAGTTCTGAACGGGCTCCCCACACGGACGACTCGACCCGAGCTCAACGCTTTGCCTTCGGAGGAGGAGATCCTGGGGCATCTATCTCAACTCAAGGAATCGGCCCCTGGTCTGGATGAAGTCACAGCTCTCATGCTACGTGAAGCAGGTGAAGAATTCCACGCATTTTCCGTCCCTCTGGTACAGAAGCTTTGGGCTCAGGACCCGGCGCTTTGGGAGAATAGCTTATGTGAAGTTGTTGGTTTCCGCCTGTACAAAAAGGGTCCCAAGACGGATGTGGCCAACTACCGCACTAGTTGGCCCATTCAGATGATCATGCGTCTCATGGAGAGGATTGACGCGAAACGAATGTCCACTTACTTGGAGCCCGAAGGCATCCTCTCAGAATGCGCATGGGGGTTCCGCCCCTGCAGAGACGTACTGGGCCCCATTTTGGTCAGCCGCCTTATGTTGGAATTCTGAAATTCAGTCAAGGCCCCCCTAGAATGGGATGAACTCTGCCTTATTTTAATTCGATATCAAGAAAGCATATCCACGAGTACCACAAGTTACCGCTGAAACGATACTTGGAAGATCGGGCTTCTCTCCGAACATGGTTCGACGGCTGTGTGCGCACGATCGCCGCTGTATGTACCAAGTCCGCAACCAAGAAGGCCTCTCGCGTACGTTCACGATGAGCAGAGGTTTTCGCGAAGGCGGACCGGCGTCACCAGCGAAATTCAATATGCACCACGCCAGTAGCAGCCACCACGTTCGTACGAGTCTCACTTCAACCATTCCTGAGGTTGGAATTACTCTGGGACAACTGAGCAACCCAGTTATCACGCAACACGGAAAAGGCATCAAGCCGGAACAACAGACGCTCACAGCGGAGCACGACCCGACAGGACGGTTTCAGGACATCTTTCAAATCGTCCAGATATTGTTCGCTGACGACACTTCGTGCTGGTGCAGGTACTCGAATCACGTGGATGTGGAAAAACTGACAATCGATTCATTTGAGGATTGGAGCAAGACCATACATGCAGGCAAGACTGAACGACTCCGCACACGGGGGGCTGGCGAAGACGAACGCTTGGTAGAACAAGCCGGGGTCCTTGGGGCCTGGTTGCAATCCAACGGATACCACGACGTCGACACCGATCATCGTCTGCAGGCAGCCAAGAAGCTATGGCAGAAACTCAATCAACAACTACAGCGTCTGCAGATCCCTCTCCGGAGTTTGGGGCGCATCGTGAACGCCACGGTTACTGCTTGTTTGCTTTTTGGACACGAATGCCGTAGCGTGACCACCACCCAGATGCAGCAATACCGAGTGTTTCTGAACCGAGTGGTGCGAGGAGTATGCCATCAACGCATTCGAGACATGCGGGCCGACAAGGTTACGATGCAGGATTTGCACCATCGCCTGAACTTAGATGACGTGGAGACCATCGTGGTTTGGAAGCAGGGGAACTTCTTAGGCCATGTCTTGCGTCGTGACCAGCATCGCCTGGAGAAGAAGCTTCTTCGAGCGGTCGTTCTTCCAGAATGCACACACGCAGCGGCTCGGGGGGGGGAGAAAAAAAAACCTTCTACAGCGAACATGTTCACCGCACGCTTGAAGGAGCTGGCCCACTTCAGCGA